ACGCTGCGGGTAAACATATTCAATCATAAACATGTGAGCAATCTAAAGTAGTTCGAGTGAAATTAACTTCATTCGTTTGTTTGTGAAGCAATACCAGAAAAAGAGCACTTACTCAGTCATGTACCACAAATAATCAGATACATCTCTTGTGGTATTTATCTGCTCCAATAACCCAACTGTGTAAGTATTGTCTTCATGCAATGCTGCGTCTTCGTTATATGACTGCCAAGAGAATCCTCTAATGACTGGACTCATCTTCATCTGTACACTTTGAGCACCAACCTTCACATTAAATTAAGAGTGTGAGACATCTTCATTGTTATGCACTAATAGCATAAGTAATTCAGGAGAAGTGCCTTTTTCTCACCCTCGCAGTATTATATACAGTGTTCTTGCAGTCGGGAAGAATGCTGATAGACCAGGGCGGCAAGTTATAATGCATGTTCCCAAATGCCACTTTAGCAAAAGAGTGCTGGTTGTAATTAGCAAGGAAGGCAGCGCAGGCCCCAGACTCCGACTTAAAAATACGGGCCTGTAAGAGAAAAACAAAAAGTTTGATTTCACTTCAAATATGGCAATGCTGACTGGTTTAAGAAGAATTTAAATGAATGTCACCTCTTGATAGTTTCCTAAGGGTGTCACAGTCGGATCAGCAGATACTAAAGCTGGCTCACAAAGCTTTATCGCTCTATGCAGGTCTTTCAAATGACCCCATTTAGGTTGACGTAATAACCCTGAAGATCAAAGGGGGAAAAATCACTTTGGCTAAACAATGATTTCCACTTCAGCTGCTCTTTTTCTTATCTTTTACATCTTCGCCCTAATTCTAATCATGGATTTGATAGTAAAGAAACCTCATAAGTAAGTTTTACTCAATAGCAGCGTGACAAACTGAACAACATAATATCATGTAAGTTTATCAACAGCAATAAACTAACCGAGAAACACAATATCATTTATGATGAAGAACAGGATTTCCAAGTAATTAATTTGATTGAATTGTTAATATCAGCTGGTTGAACTTAATAATAAGCAGTAGACATAGATGTCAGCAGCTTTTGCTTTAAATGCAGCTTGCATGACCTACTATAACACATGCATTTGCCTTCTGAACTAGATTCACTTAAAATTAGTAATCACAGTGTTCGGAACAAATAGAACAACGATTTGTTTTTGGGTAAGTAAGTCGTACAACAGGTAAAATTGTTCCTCAATCCAAACAGAAGCACAGATCATTCGGTCAAGGAGTCACCCTTTTCTGCAGCTGTGAAATGAAAGAGCAGACCCTCGAGGGTGATGTGAAAAATTTAACAGAAACCAGTGTACTAGCGAAGCTAGGGGCTAACACGAGAAAAAAGATAAACCAAAGAAAAAAATAGAAGAGTAGACCAAGTAAATTCTGCTTCTCCCTATTCAAATGGTTTATGGAACAAAACAGGAAGGTATTTTGATCCTTAACCTTCTCCTTAAACTACGATATTCAATCCAAACATTGATTCTAAGAAAATACATACCAAATTCATCAAGAGGTGCATCATAGTCATAACTAGTGGCGATAAATGGGCCACCAGCAGTCCTTCCAAAGTTTGTTCCTCCATGATACTGACAAAAATAGGGGGAAAAAAAAGGAAGTCAGAACAATGTATCCTCCTTGGATTCATATAAAACACTTAACTTGTTAAAGTAAAATTCCAATGAATTACCATGTAGTAATTGACAAAGGAGCCTCCCGTTTGTATAAATCTTGCGACAGCAAATGCCATATCCTCTGCAGGACGGTAAGGAACTGGACCTCCAAATTCAGTAAACCTGCCAAGAATATCAAAACCGAAATTATCCCGTCGTGAACTCTAGCAAAGATGTAAAATAAGATATTATACTATAGCTTATGAGAGATGCATGTGAAATTTACCAAGCTGTCCAGGCCTCAGTCCACATCTTGGGTTTATTAGCCTTATTTGGTAAGAAGTAGTCACAGTAGAAACCATTGCAAGTATTAATCTGCCCAGGGGAAGATATACATTAACATAAAGTACCAAAGTAAATTTAATTTAAAAAAAAAAAATAACAGAAGACATGCCAATACAAGCTTTTCTACTGGATGTTTTAAGTATTAGTAAAGTTAGTTATCACAAAATATGTTGCTCGGACTCTTCGAAAATGTTGCTGGGTGCGTGTCGGATCCTCCAAAAATAGTGTATTTTTGGAGGATCCGATACGGGTGCGGCATCATTTTGGAGAGTCCGCGCAACATAGATCACAAATAGAGCAAGTACGGTATCCCTTTGTTTGTAAGTTTGATTCAAACAGGTAAAAGAATGTTCTTTTACAGACCACTAAAAAGCAAACATAGTCACAAGTCGGTGACTACAAGAGTAAAAGGCAACTGAATATTTTTTTAAGAGACATGAAAACAGAAAGGAGTGGGAACATAAGCCACCACATGTGCAGGAGTTAAAAGTATTCTATTTAATTCATGACTATACATGGTGACAACTGACAACTGACAATAATTGTTGCATAAGAACCCCACTAGAAATGGGAACATAGCAGGAAAGATGCAAAGAACAAGAAGAAAATATACAGACAATAAGAATAGAAAATCAATGAAATGCTATAGAATCCACTTACTATAGGATCAGGGACATCATCTTGCTTGCACATGATCCATGGGACACCTGTGCCAAGATCCACTGCCATTTTTGCCGCCCACTCTGAGTAAGCTTTACCAGGTTCACCTAGTTCCCACTCCATAGGTCCATATTCATTTTCGATCTGTCATAATTTTTCAAAGACGGTTATTTTCACCCAATTTACCTTTTAGTTTTAGCTGTAGGAAGAACCTTGAAATTTGCAAGATTGAAAAGTTTTAACAACCTGAGATAGAATAATTGGACCACCCTGAGATTGATACAACCGTTCTGACTTCATCATATCAACAATCTTGGTAGTGAACTTTTGCATTGCAGCCTATGTTGTAGCATTTTAGATAAAAAGAGTAACACCCAAATTAGAAACCAATCACATCAAAGTAAGACTAGTAACAAAAATTGTTGCTATGAAGAATTTTTCATTTGGCAGCTCAATCTAACCTTGAAAGGCTCGTTGTCTGTTCTGAAACTGATACCTGGAACATACTTTAGCCAAACTGGAAAACCCCTGAAATTGGAACAGGTAATATGATCAAGAACTTAAACTTTATGTCTATATGGGGTATCATTATTTTGGCAGATATGACCATAATTTTGAACATTACCCAAAATTCCATTCAGCACATGCATAAGGTCCAATCCTGAGATGGACATAAAGTCCTGCTTCTTGCACCACTTTAATAAACTTCACTAAATCATACCTCCCTTCAAAATAATACTGGAAAATAAAACAAAAAAATAAGTTAAATAGCAGCAAATGATGAAAACAGTAAAAATTGAAAAAAGGAGTCTACTTTACTCACCTTCCCTTCTTCAGACTCATGTCCATTCCAGAAAACATAAGTTTGTATCACATCCACTCCTCCTTCTTTTGCCTTCTGAATAAGATCTGGCCACATCTGTGTAATCAAAAAACAAGGATAGAGATAATAACCTTATAAAAATCCGATTTTAAACAAAAACAACAACTATACCCCAGTCCTAAACAAATTGCAGTAGGCTATATGAATCCTCACTGCTTCATTTATACTCAACTAATGTCATCATCATACCAAAAGATTGTCTAAACACCCAATCTTTAAACAATAAAAAATAAAAGTTTAGTCAGAGAGTGAGAGAGCAACTAATTTAGACACCCATTTGCCCAAAAAGCCAATCTTGAATAAAACATGGAATATACAACAACAACAACAACAACAACAAGGTAGAGAGGCTGTTTCCGTTAGACTCTCCGCTCAAGAAACAGTGAAAATAAAGCAACAACAAATGTAATAGGGTAACGGAAGCAAATGACACAAAAATAAAACATGGAATATGGAATCAACATATTGAAGTAAAAAACAATTAGAAAGATAACATAAGCATATAAAAATCCAATCTTTAAACAATAAAAATTCAAAGTTGAGTTAGAAAGGGAGTAAGCAACTAATTTAGGCACCCATTTGCCCAAAAAAAAATCTTGAATATAACATGGAGCATGAAATCAACATGTGAAGTAAATTGTTCCCATGAATTATACCTCAGGTATGCTTCTTGGGTAATGAATGGAGCCAGAAATGAGGATTTTTCTTTGGCCATTTACAATAATAGCCTTATGGTCATATGACACTGAAGCAATTCCACAAGAAACCCATGAACTCAATAACACCAATAAAATCAGCAACACATTCCACATTGCAATCCAAGAACAATCCATGTTGGTCAGCATTGAGCATTCAGCACCCCTTGTACCTCAAATTCTTGCGCCTTTTACAAGGCACTTAACTTTATTCCTTCTTTTTTAGTTGCACTTTATTCTATTCTTGCATTATATAGTGAGAGAAAATGTAATAGTACTACTAAATATAGTATTGGGAGAGTGGCGAAGAGAAACAGCTGTTTTTGTTTGTCTTTAGATTTTTCTTTTTCCTTTTTTTGTTTATAACATACTTTCCCTTCTAGTGCAGACTGCAGAGTAAGAGAGAGAATAAAGAAGAAAGAGAAAAATGCTGTCCAAATAAAGGAGTACTGTCGTAGTAGTAGTATAGTTCTGAGTGACAGTGTGAATGTGTGACCAAGTGTGGACATTTTTCCATTATTAAAAAAATAAGGTTTCATAATTAAGATTTTTGTTTTTATTCTTATACTTACGTTGAATCTGGTTTTTATTGGAACTCTTTTGGTTTTATTCGAGACATACTATATGTCATTTTGTTACACTTTTTAAAAATGATATCTAACAGTGTTAATAATTACTCCCTCCCATCTTGACCTTTTACTTGTCATATTTGGATTAGTATTAATTAATAAAATAACTTAATTAAATTATTTTTCTTTATTCTTTTATTTTAATTCTTTTTTTTCATTACATTAATTTTTCTCCACATTTATTATGTAAGACTAAGGTAAAAAAGTAATTAATTCTTCCTTGGTTTTTTAAAATGACATTATTTTGGATCAACTATTTTTAGTAATCATGGCAATTAAAAAAAATGAGAGAGAGTATAGATATTTGGATAAATAATTTTTTCCTTTCTATAATCATGTCATTTAGCTAACACTCTATTAGTTGAACTGTAAGGATAAATTTAAAAAAAGAACTATAAATGTCCTCATATGTTTTTTAAAATATTAAATATTTTCAAAATAAATTCAATCTACTAAAACAACTACAGTAATATTTAAGGTCAAAGGTAAAGTGTGTTACCGTAAAATATGTCTAATATATATTTGTAAATTATTTACAAAAATGAGTTAATATTGTAATTAAATGGATTTTTTTAAACATTAAAAAGTACGAGGATTCCTATAATTTATCAAATTAATGTAGAATTAAAACACAATTAGTTGATCGAATGATTAAGTGAGAAATCGGGATCTCATAAAATGGGGAGAAATTCAAAAATAGCCAGATTTACAAGTAGTCATTCAAAATAGCCACAGTTTCAAAAGTAATCGAAATTTAGTCACTTTTTATGTACGGATAAATCTGAACAAAAACATTGTTCAAAATTCAAAAAATACTCCAGCATAATATATAGGAGTTCCAGTATATAATACTGGAACTCCAGTCTAATAATATACTGGAGTTTGGAGCACCGGTGCTCCAGTCTCCAGTATATTATACTGGAGCCAGCAAAGTATATCGGTCCAGCATAATATGCTGGAAGTTCATACACAGGTACACCGAACTGTAGTATATTATGCTGGACCGGTCTCTATTACAGCGAAATAGTGATTATTTTTTAATAACTTGACAAATGCTGGCTATTTTTGAATAATCAGTCCATAAACTAGCTAAGACCGCGCTATTTTGTCGTTAAAATGGGTAACTAGCCTATACCTCCTGTTATAGGTGCATGAATATTATTCATCCCACTATAATAATTATTGATGGTCCCACTTATCTCTCCACTTATCCGCAAAGCTTACATTCAATGAACGAATTTCCCCGCTGCCATTTTAAGCATTTGATTTTTTCATTAAATTGCAAGTAGAAAGGTTAATATTTAAAGCTGCTGTTGGAGAAGTGAATTAAATTGCGGGTTTTTAAAGCTACTGTACAAAGATTCCTTTTTTTGTTTTCATTTTCTTATACCCCACCAGCACCGGCGTACCGTAAAAATATTCCCGCCAATCCTTAAAGGGTCGGTTCCGGGTTTATGGGTCGGAACCGTAATATTTGTTCTTGTTTTGTCAAACGACAAACGCGCGTGACTTCACGCTCTTGGGATAATAGTGGCAGCTATGATTGAGGATGATGGTAGCGTGGTGGTGGTGATGGTGGTGATTGAGCGTGGTGATGGTGGTGGTGGTTGAGTGTACTGGTGGTGATGGCATGATGGTAGTTGATAATGATAGGTGGTGACGACAGTTAATAATGAATATGTGATAGCATCTTAACAAAATTAAGTCCATATTATAGATCTTAATCATACAGACTTATTCAGACCTATTAAGTGGTTGTGAAGTAAAAAAAATAAACACACTTAATGATTAAGATCTAAATAATTAAGATTCAGACTTTAAAAACAAACGCACTTAATATCTGAGATCTGAATGATTAAGATTCAAACATCCATTAAGTGCAAACAAATAGGCCTTAATCCGTTGTTCAAAGTATTTTTGTGGTCGCCCAACCTTTCAAAATCACCTTACGTTGAGAAGCCCTTTTTATACCATAGAGTTCCAAGCACAATTAAGAAAAAATAATGTGGTAAGCGGACATCTAGTTCAAAACTAGTGAATATGGTGAATTCTCATAATACAAAATGTATGATGATGTATGCATGCAATTAGACACGTATTACATAATACTAGACTGGTACATACTTTAATAAGTTGACATAGATGATGATTATATATCAAAAAGTACTTTGGGAGAAATAGCAAATTGTGTTTTATCAGACATTTGGAAAGTGCTTCATTTAGTATTAGAGGAACAACTTATGTTTGGCCTATAATTTTTAACTTGAGTGTCAAATTAAGGAAAAAAAAACTTTATAATTATTATTATTATCGGTAAGTGATTTTAAATATCTATTATGAGAGGTCTTAATAAAGTTTTTCATGCTAATATAATTAAGATGTAAAGAATCCCAAAGTACATTCAAAATCTAAATCAATATTTATACAGTTAAACCTAAATAATAATATTGAACATCGTATACAATTAACTAATATTTATATGGTGATTTAAGTAAAGTTGTATTGTGAAAAAAGGAGATTGCAGGTTTATGAGATTTTGATCATTGACATTGTATACGGGTGGAACCGGGCTCATGGTATACCTCGGTCTCCGATAAAATAAGCCAAGCTCGAGACATGATGACATGGGACCGAAATCGAGGCAAGGGCCTCGTCGAGTCAGAGTCCGGAGATATGAGGCTCGCCCTCGAAAATATAGGGTCATGGTCCGGGATCGGTCCTAACCCTGAACGACCTCGAAGAACACTGTAAGGCAATCAAGCACGACCAATAGAAGGCCGTAATATCCGCGATCGGCCGGATATCACGGCGTGAATCTTGGCACGTATCGATGAAGAACCGACAATCAGTTAAACAGAAGATTTTTTACCTTTTGTGGAATTGTACCTAGAGTAAGATTCCCCTACTATATAAAGGGGTCTGATAATTCATTAAACATATTGTATCACGCATTCCAAAGCAATATATTATTATTTTCTCTATTATTTAGCTCTTTTTCCTGTTCATTAGTGTTAGCTATTGAGAGCCCGATCGAGGGCGAATATTTCACTAAGGCTAAAGTCGTCCTCCTCGCGTGGTTTGAATTCATTTTATCTTTGCTTCTTCAATCTAATTCAATTTATCTCTTTGTGTCAAATTAATCTGTGTATCCTTAAAACCACTTACAAATTTAATTGTTATCCGATTTTGAGGGTAAACAGTTTGGCGCTCACCATGGGGATAAGGATAATAGTGGCTATTTGATATAAACTTCTATAACATACCCTATTTTACACTTGTTCTTTGGAGTATCTTTGATTTCAAGTTAAAGTTTGAAATGTCGAACTCCCAGTCTGCCCCTCTAAACATGCATGCTGAATCCGGCCATCATCACGAGAATAACAATGTAACACCCGATAACGAGGTGCCCCCCATCGACCTCAACGGAGTTCCAGCCGGATACCCGATCAACGCTAGCTCGCATGTGGCCATCAATGCAAATTTGCCTATCGATCCTGATAACATCATCCACAGGGAAGTCCGATCGGTTGCACAAAATACGCACAACGGTGAAAATGATGGGATCAACTTGCGTGTGAACTTCGAAATGCTACAAGCTCAACAAGCAGCAATGCCCAGCTCCAAAACCAAAGCCATGCCGCGAGTAGAATTGAGCCCGAGCCGTCCCGGGAAGTCACCCGCAGAAATAAACCAGTCACGGAGAGGCCGAACGAAAATGAATTGGGAGATAACCCTGGGATCATAAAGATGCTCGAGGAGTTGACAAAACTGGTAGAATCTGAAGAAAAGAAAATCAAAGCCAATGACAAAAATGTGGAAACCTACAATTCCAGGGTCGACCAAATCCTAGGAGCACCGCCGTTATTAAAAGGCCTGGATTCCAAGAAGTTTGTTAAAAAACCTTTCCTCCGAGCGCAGCTCCAAAGCCGATCCCTAAGAAGTTTCGGATGCCCGAGATTCCTAAGTACAACGGAACAACCGACCCAAATGAGCATGTGACCTCCTACACGTGCGCCATCAAAGGGAACGACTTGAAGGACGATGAGATCGAGTCTGTCCTGCTGAAAAAGTTCAGGGAGACTCTATCACCGGGATCTATGATATGATATCACAACCTACCTCCTAATTCTATTGACTCGTTTGTTATGCTTGCAGATTCCTTCGTAAAAGCAGACGTCGAGGCTATCAAGGTCGAGACCAGGAAGTCAGACCTTTTCAAAGTAAAACAGAGGGATAATGAGATGCTTAGAGAATTTGTGTCCCAGTTTTAAATGGAACGGATGGACCGGCTTTCGGTCACGGACGATTGGGCCGTTCAAGCCTTCACCCAAGGACTTAATGTTTGAAACCCGTTGGCTTCACAGTAGTTGAAAATCTGGTAGAATATTCGAATGTTACTTGGGCCGACGTGCATAACCGGTATCAATTAAAAATAAGGGTCGAAGATGATCAGCTTGGGGCCCATTCTGGGTCCGTTTATCCCGTCAGAGCCGTCGACAAATTCAAGAGAGATGTTGATCGTGAACCAAGATCAAACAGGGATCAGTATCAGCCATACAATGGAGATCGAAGAGGCAAGGGTCTGGATGAAACCCTGTGAGAAGTGAAAGGAGTGATCGAGGTCAAAACAACCGAAGACTCATGAGCAAAAACAGTTTCGACAGGCCCACCGGGCCTAAGGAAGCACCAAGGTTATCGGAGTACAACTTTAACGCCGCTGTCGCCGCCATCATATCTGCCGTCGGACGCATCAAAGACATCAAATGGCCTCAACCTCTATAATCCAA